TAAACGCCCCCTTTTCCCTTTGGTTGATCTTTTTTTAAATTTTCATTTTTTTTAAATTTCCTTTGGCCTTTTTTTAAAAACAGAGGGGACTTAAGCCCAGAAACTGTTTTTCACTATTTTGGGGGAAAGCATTTTGAAAAAAAATTTCCCAAACATTTTCTGAAAGGGAAAAATATACGCATGTATGGATGGAGCTCAGTGTAATAGATCATTTGTGAAATGCAATGTTTCAAATCATGATACATAGTCCAGTCAAAACAACTTAGACTCAATGATATTCATGATAAATGTGCCCCATGTATTTAAGGAAATCAAGAACAACCTGTTAAAATCTTTATCCTCAGTTCCTCTACACGTCTTCTCTCACTTTGGCCTTTAATAAAACTGTTCAATGGCAGATGTTCATTGACTGATTTCAATGGGGCAGATCAAATACACAAACGAATACTTATTTCCATCAACTCAGTCCAAAATGAGGAACCATTTGGCTGAGGAGGTATTAAACAGTCATATGCTGCATGTCATTAAATATCTTGGCCCTAAAGGAAGTGATCTTGGTGGAGCAATCAAATTACGAAAAAAAAATCAAAACTGATAGAAATTTTCACAAGTTTTAAACCTGTGATTAAAGACTTAAAGGGCTACGTGAAATTGATGATTGATTCAAAAAAACCCTTTGAACTTTCAGTTTACGCTTTTGGGGGAAATGTTTTAAAAAAAAAAGGGTTACTTCATTTTAATGCAATGAGGAATATTTCATTTTCATGTAACATTTGGGGTTTTATTAGTTTTTGCAATGAAGGGTTTTAAAAATATTTGCTGTTTACTGTGCCTGGATTGATGACTGCTGAAGTGAATGAAAATACTTTTAATCAAATGCGGTCTACCTATAATGGAGCAAAGAGCAATCCCAATCCAGTATGAAAGAACATTAAATCACATAATATTAGGTCAAAAGATAATATATCAAAAAGGCATACAGGAAAATTTTTGGAGATGGAAAAATACGCTATTACGAGTCAGCATTTAAAAAGCAAAAAGTAGGGTTCATCGACCCCTTCATAACCTCCCGATTTTCCCTTTTTAAAATTTTCCCTTTTATTTTTGTTCTGCCCCCTTTTTTTCTCGTTTAGGGCACACACCCAAAAATTCTTTTACTTTGGGCCCAACCCCATTAAAACCCCTAAAATTCATGGTAATGGCCAACTTTAAAACCTTTTCCACTTTGAAAATTCCATGAAAACCCCCAGAGAAAATTTTTCTGCAGGAGTTTTCAAAATTCCCAAAATTGTTCAAAATTCATGTTTAAAAAGTTGGGAATTTTTGGGTTAAGTCGATTTATTTGGGGGGGTGGTCCCTTTGTTTGCCTTTGACATACCCCTCCCCTGGTTTTAGTCCTGCAACTTTTCTGTTTTGGGCCGTTTTGGGGCTTTCTTTAGGGATTCTTATTTAATTTGAAAAGAATGTGTGTGCCCTTAACGAGAAAATAATGGGCGGAACTAACCAATTGGACTTTTGAAAGGGGATATGTCTTAGTCCCCTCCTTAGTCTCTAGCTCTGCTCATAGACAGTTGACCACAACAGCAGGTGCCAAATGCCGTGTGGCAGCTGTAAAATGTTGTCCCGTACTTCACTTCAGTGTTGTTATATTTTTTCTGGTCCTTCGGGATCATTGGTGCCAGCACTATTAAGTGTAGTATTGAGTACTGCTCAAGCCGGTGCTAGGAATGTGACGCATGTTGCACTCATTCATTATTCCTCATATATAGACTCAATCAAAACGAGTCTGCAATTTTCATGTAAGTTTGTTGTTATTAATGCTTCCGAGGAATAACTTTGTTTCCAAAATTTTAAATATGAAAATGCCAGGTTACAACGTACATGTCATGACGGTCTCATCTTTCGAACCTGTATGGTTTCTTCCTTCGGACTTGACTACGAAATACTTAAAATCCGACGGCCTTACCGCCCGGCCATAAATTTCGTGTCTATAACAGTATAACTAAAAAAAATATTTTTGGATTTTTTTTAATATATCGATATTTTATTGCAAGGTTAAACACGTTTAGGTAAAATCAATGCCACTAGCACCTTTGACATATATATTGTTACACACAACAAATTATGATACTACTTTATCAATCTAAAATGTCAGCGTATAAAATATAGTTGTTATTGTGCATGCCAACGTAAAGTCGCCTTCTTGTACGATAGAAGAATACCGCACAAGGTACGTTCACTCCATGCTTCACCGACAGAAAAGGATTTGTTTTTGCAGTTTCCTGATTGATTTCTAACACTTCGTCCGTGTCAAAACGACAAACAAACACTTTATTCAAACCATCAGAACTGATTCCTCTTGCCCCGTGTACGAGTATACTGTTAAGAACTCTTCCACTTTTATTTAAGATATATACCCCGAAACCTGCATCGGAGATATATAACGTGTCACCAAATTCGTCTATGTCAATTTGTTCTGGTTTATAAATGCCAATTGGTTTAATATCTATACTTCTTACAAGCTGTAAGTTTTCCCGGTCTTGTAAATAGTATATGCATACTGTGCATGAGCCTAAAAAATACAAATATTCATCCAGGCACTTCAGTCCGTTACAATGACCCAGCTCTTTGTAGATGCTCAATGTTTCATGCCTCCTCTCAAATATCTCCAAACACAGAGTTTCTTGATATGCAACAGCTACGATGTCGTCAGGAATACACGTGATACACATCGGATGGTCTTCTAGATAAAATACTTCTTTTAATAGTAAAGTATCGAAGAAGAATACTTTCATACATTTGTTTGCAAAGTCGGCAATCATCAAATTGCCATTTCTCATTTTAGCAAAATTGATGGCGGTACATAATTTACTATCTTTATCTGTTAATTTCTTTAGCTGACATGGGTTTGACTTTGACTTTTCTTTTACCATGACTTTTTTCCAATCCTCGGTAGAGTCAGAACTGTAACATATACAAAAAATATGAAAAAAAATGAAATTGTGATTAAAAATTCGTGTTTGCTTATTATGTATCCTTTTGACAAACATATTTTGTAATAGACAAACTTAAAAGATATGAATGTGCACAGACGGCTATATATATAAGTATACGTATAATATATATATATAAATATATTAATATATATAATATATATAATTCATATATATATATATATATATATGTATAGTATATATAATTATATATATATATTATATATATCGAGGAAAATCTTCAATTTACTAGATCATTCATGAGAATAATGACCTGGTTGCCATATTGATTGTGACCTTTGTGTTTTTCTGAACTACAATTGTGCATGTAATGTCCTTTCAAAGGGTAGCAATTTCGGTTTTCCAGTAGTGCAAAAATATGGCTTTGTCATACAAGGAAATATATTGAGTTGATGTTACCCAGGTTGAACACCAACCTATGCGATTCGGAGCTTTTACAATAAGATCTTTGGGTTAAAAATGTTGCGCAATCTCGTACCTGGCTATCATAAAGTGTGTTTTTACTACGGCCTACACACTAATACAATTGTTTACTATGGAAAAAACATACATTTTTTCACCATTGCTCCACAGTAACAAAATAGTATTTGTTTGAATATATAACAGATGTTAAATGGAATTTATGGATTTATGTTTTATTAATAATCAGATATTGCGAGCCCTTTTTCTATATCATTTAATAGAGAAATATTAGGTTTTAGTTAAAAATTTATATCTGGCATATCTTATCAGCTTTACTACTGCTTAACAGCCTCATTCCTTTTCTTTAGGTCTGATGTTATTTTTTCTACGGTATATCCCCAAAAACGAAACGTTTGAAAACCCAATTTTCGCTCGTTCAATTTAAAGAGACCTTTTCGCTTTTTACTGTTTTATGCAAAATGGTTGACTGGCAATCCAATTGCTACACTTTATTATTGTTTAGTCCCTAGTTGACCTGGTTTACATAAAAAACGCATGGATTTTTTTGGGATACCTGTACTGTTTGTGAGCAGTTGATCTAGCAATGAATAGGAAAGGCAGGGCTAAATTGTTCACTGCCAAAATATCTGTAAATGTCCAATGGAAAAGACGCTGTAAGAATCAAATTTCCTGTTGGCCAGGAAATGTTACGTCATTTCGCAAACGGCAATTCCCCATCTAGAAAACAAGTCTTTCAATTTCGAAGTGACCACTTTTCAGGACATGTATAATTTGTTCACTCATATATTATTTTGAGTGTATTTATTGCATCTGAGCAGTTTGAATGTGATATCTGATAACTTTAAATGTTGTAATTGATTCGTATGTATTCTTCAGGACGTAATTTCTGTAAACGTTAAAGTACAGGTAAAACATACACCACAAACTGAAGACAAGATCTTTGAACTGGACAATATCAACGATGACACAACACATTTAAAAATGCCAAAAAAGAACGTTTTCGAGGCTCATTTGAATTGGATAGTTATGATGTTTGAAATCAAAGATACTTGATGTGGCTGATTTGTGCCATTCGTATCCCCCGCTTCCCGCCTAACGAAAAGTCAAGAATGAACAAGTTTAAATGGCGCGGAATGAAAACACGATAATTTTCGGGAGCGGGCGAAGTTAAATCAATAAATCTTCCCCTCGTTGTGGTGCAGAGCGAGATTTAAGAAATAATACGGCGGGCAGGTGTGCAAGACAAAGTTTAATAATACGCTAATAAGCCGGGCGCAGGCGTAGTTTAATTAATAAAACTTCGCCCCGCGGCCCGCGTGTTTTCGCTCCGCGCCGCCTCCATTTTAACTTGTTAATTCTCGACTCTCCGCTTGGCGGAGTCTTGGGGGGAAAACACGCCAATTAGCAAGGGGGTGCGTGGCGAAGTTTTATTTAACTTTTTGTACGAGTTATTTTAAAGTGCTACTAGAAATTACTATACCAAAAAGAAAAAAACACCAACCAACAACAACTCGATTTTAGGTTTACTAACTTTATATTATTACGTTGTATATAAATGCTCACCTTTTCGTTCTTGTAAGAAGTGAAGTCACTTCTCGGTGATTTGTAAACTTAGCATGAAATCTTAGGCATTTGCAGCACAGTTTCTTCCCATTGTTACCACAAAGTTCACAAAAGTGTGTGGCTTTGGTTTTAACGTAATCTTGAAGGCAATATTCACAAAGAAATTCATTACCATTGGATCTACGATGTAAATTGAATACTGATTCTAATTGGTTCACGTCAGGCTTACGTTCTTGACTGCGACTCCTAACAGTACTTTCTGTAATGTCACTCTGAGCCTCTTGCAAGCTTAGGAAAGAACTTCCAGAATCTGTAGTGCTCTCATCTCCCGCTGTAACACTTAATGTAGAAATACTATATACCACCGATTCAGTTTGATCTTTACTATATTTCCTCTCGCCTTTCCCCTGGCACTCATGTAAGAACCTGTATCTTCGATAGTTTTTTCATCATCTCTAACCGAAATACGTAATAAATAGACCGTACAACTTAAGTATATATTCTTTAGAATATCAACAAAAATCAATACACTTATGACAAAAAATATTTATTAATACAAGAAGGTAGCGTTTAAACAAAAGATATTTATTATCGATTTACAGAGGTACAAATAAGTGTCAACAAAATATATATTTCCAGGTTTTTTTTCATGGAAACAATACGTGCTCTTAATATTACATTTTTTACTTTGTGTGAAAACATGGATAATAATATTAATTGTTTCTTTTCGAAATTTAGCATATTGTTTTTAAATCTGGAATCACTCTTCAACAAGTATTACTAACATTTTTTTCCATTCTATAAACATAAACATGCCAGAATTCGTCTTGAAAATCTATTTCATAATTTTAAAATGATTATTTTCATAATCCACCCATGATTCATGTATGTATATTTCATATTCATTCGAATAAATTCTATGTTTATACTATACTATAACTATTCTATAATTATTAAATGACAACAACAATGACAAAAGCTTTTATTTGCATTAAACATTGTGAAAATGTTAATAGCATAAAATGATGAAAAAATACAAAATGCTTCTGTTTCGCTATCGTTTAACAAACCTCCTACATAACCTTTTGCAACAGTATTGTGCCATATAAATACTGATGCCTGGAATGATCTTGTGTATTTTAGTTTTTCTGGATCACATTATAAGAATGAATGTTTGGGCCTAATAAAAAAAACATGGAGCATTTTTATTGCAAAAGCACTGTATTTGCAACCATAATTGTTTGCTTTATTAAAATATAATAATCATATAATTATTTTAGAGACGTTTATTTCTAGCCAACAGCGTAACACAAATCTCTACGCATTTCTCGACCTTTCATTCCTTGGCATTGGTACTAATATGAATGAAGGAAATGACCGCTATGAGGAGTTAGAGGAAAATTATTTGAAACTCGCTCCAGAAGAGTTTTGGTGAACTGACTTGTTCATTTCAAGTGAATTGGTTGATAATGGAACGCCTGTAATACAATACATATTTAAGTTAACAGTATTAAGTATCTTAATGTAACATGGCAAAACTATTAGATGAATTTATAAGCCAGCTAGTTATATAAATAATATACGTTAAGGTTATCGAATAAAACTCAACGATACAAATGTGCTGTGTTACACTTTTAATGTTTTTACTGGGTGGACATTCATCCCATATGTCACTTTGTAATTTAACATAGATATTTGTCTAATTTACATCTATGTGTATTCTTGAATGTGCTAAAACATATAAGTCGTTAATATCAATATATAAAATAAAGTTATTCTTGTACATGCCGATGAAAATCCGCCTTCTTTTATGGTCGAAATATACCTAACACGGTACAGCGATAATATCGTCTGGCAAAAGCGTTTTGCAACTGGAAGTTCTTAAAACTTTGAGTTAAAATATCAAAAATACACATTATTAGCAGTATCCGAAGAGACATCATGTTGCGCACATAATGATATATTCATAAGAAGTTTTTAAATCTTAAACATACAAATATAGGACAGCATCGGTGGTATAAATAGTGTTTCCAGATTGGTCAACATCATTTGTTCTGGATGATTGATCAGAACAGAACAGAACAGAAACTTTATTACTTGGTTTAAGCATAAAAAGCTCATCACCATATTAAATATACAAATACAGCATATAATACATAAATGACACATGACATGAATATATATAATTACAAAATAATTGTTTATGTAATGTGAGAATGTTTAATTTGAGATACGAAATTACTTAAAAAAGCATATGAATACATATATATAATACACAAGAATTGGCCTATCTTTACCAAACATTATCAATTTAAGCTACACTACATTTTCTTTTATGTGAATACAAAAAAGCAAACTGTGACAAATGAAGGGGGATAACTTAGGTAACTTTACATAACCAGTATTTTAACATTTACTTCCCCTTAATAATTCATGATCAATATTAATAGAATTCATTTCTATATGAAAAATGAATACATTTACTGATTTTGTACGTTTTTTTATATATATAAAGAAAAGAACCCCCCCCCCCCCACAAAACAGACCAATGCCATGTTGTTGTAATTCGATAGTTAATTCTGAAACAAAACATATCAACACTTACATAAAAAAATAAGTTCCTTTTGTTTCTTTGAAAAATTCACAAAGCATTTTATTATCTTTATCTATTTGCAACTGTAACACTTAAGTTAGAGGTACTACATGCATCAAATTCAGTTACAGTATTACCAATATTTTTCTCCGAATTGGCCCATCTTAAAAAGTCATATAAGAATTTTTATTATGACTAGAATTATTGCACAAAGTATCTTCTTCATCTACTTTTACACTTAAAAATGAGTTACTTGCGCTTTTTATGAAACCCCCTTCTATCATTTCTGTACCAAATATGCATAAAGCCCCTGGATTTCAACATCGTTGAATAAGGAAAAATACATTTTGTTACACAGGTGTTTGATTTATTTTTTTTACTTGACTTCAAAACAATTAAAATAAATACATTTAATGTGATACTCCAGAAGATTATATTCTTACATACATCTCGAAGTATAGAATGGTAGCATTGAAACAAACAAATACAAAACATTAAACAAGACTAATAAATTGCGAATACAAACATCCTTACTTTTTTCTCCATTCAATGACATGAATGATGTTAACTTAATTATATGACAGAAAGTTTTCTGTGTCTTTGTCAAAAACGAATAACGGATTTACAATTTTTTGAAATTTTAGTTGTAGCAGGAACATAATATTATTTCAGTTTAAATTCCCATAGCTTCTGGAGAATTTCACATACTGTCACGTGATGCTAAAAATAAACCAGACGAAAAAGTACTGTGGAAGTTGAAATATAAGGTATGGTGCAAAACTGAATGAGCATTAACATATAAAACATTAACACATAAAAAGTATACAGGTAAAAATGCAACAAATGTTAAACGTATGTGACTTCCATGTTTTGCATATGGTAGAAACATATGGTGTCTCCAAAAAAAGTACCCCATATCAAAACTGCCCTTTTTAATTGTAAAGACAGGCGAATTTATCATACTATTTTTATAAGCGAAAACATTTATTTTTGGAACCACGTGTAAAGCCCGTTTATTTACATTTTCTGTTTTAAATAACATTTTTTAGTTTCATGAACCTTGAACCAGAGCACGACCTTAGGCTGAGAAGCTCCCATAGGTCTTCCTGCGATAACATGCGCCCCAGGCTATGCCAGGTCCCGAACCTCGACCTCAAGTGAATATCTATACAATGATGCAGATGCAGTACAAACATTTAACTGTTTAAAAAGTAAGTAGAAAAAATAATTGTTTTATTATTTTATTTTATTCATCTTATTACATAGATTAACTAAATAATTATTAACTTTATTGATTTGTAGCTACATATGTATGTTTATATAAACTTGTTAATTTAGATATTTCCAATTCTACATGGTAAATAAAAATTGATGGAAATACAGACAAACAAACATTTTGGTCATTATGAACTAACATCTACATACATCACCAATGGAGGACGATTATTATTTAAACATAAATTGAATAATGTAACTGATCGGTGAAATTGTGCTCCCATAACGCCACCTGTTGTATTGTTAAGAACTTTCTATAGGCTTGAGACCTTCCAGCTTGGCCAAATGAGGTTAAACACTGTAAGTAAGTTAGTTTTAGTTTTTATTAAGTGAACATTTTAACAATTAAGAACCCATTGTCACTCTCTATGGGTAGCTTCGTTTTGGGTTCTTAATTGTAAAAAGAATCACTTAATAAACACTAACATATACAAAGGGAGAAAAAAAGTCATGAATAAAAATGAATGATTATTCTCCCCATAACAATAAGTTGCACATAGATGCATGAACCAAGAATCTTTTAAGAATTTTCTGTACAATCATGTAGAATCTAATTAAGACTGTTCAAAGTGTTAATCTTGCAGAATATATGATCATAAATTTATCATATGAAAAACACATGAAAGTTCACATATATTTAATATATGAAAACTTATTCATATGCAAAACATGTGATCACAATGAGTTTAACATATGTTGATGACATATTTTTTCATATGGCCCTGTTTAACATATGTTATTTCACATATGAAAAACATATGTTCTTAAACACATGTTTTCAAAACATATGAAACGCGTATGTTTTACATATGGAAAACATATGGTGTACCAAACATACAAGAAACATGTGATGAATTTTTACCTGTGTACACATCCCATCTCGACATTGATAAATTGATTGTCGAGCTGAATGTTCAATGTCGATTTCTGTGCTAACTCCGTGAACATGTAATAGTTACGGTATAAAATTGAATGAACTTTTTGATCAAACAATATTTGGCTAGTTAACCGTAGATTACATAAGCTTAGGATAATAATGTTGGAATATAAGAAATAAAACTTCGCCGAACACTTCGCTAATTAGCGTGTGCCCCTCAGCCCCGCCAAGGGAAAAGTCCAGAATTAACAAGTTAAAATGGCTGGGGTGCAAATCGAAAATACGCTTATTAGCGAGGGCGCCCATAAGCATGTTTTCGCTCCGCACCCCGTCGTTCTATTTCTTAAATCTCGCTCCACGCTCCCGCTGGGCCAAGTTTTAGTTATTAAACTTTGTCCCGCGCCCCCGCTAATTAGCGACTTTTCGCTCCGCGTCCCCCGCCATTTTAATTTCTTAATTTTCGACTTTTCGCTTGGCAGGGTAGCGGGCGAAAAACGAATGACCCAAATCAGCCACCATAGTTTAGCAAGTTAACGAGTTTTAGCGACAATGCCCCTATAGAATTTTCATTGCATACTAAATACCGTATACCTGTACAACAGAAGAAAATTGACATAAACTTTAAACGGGATTCAAATATAAGGGATAACATTGGGACAGGTCTGATTGGCATAT